ATGTACTTTTTTAATTAATAATCAATATGTATAATTATTGCGATATTTGTGCATTTGAATGACTAATTAGTGAAAATCATATTTTTATAATCACTCTGTAAATTATTATAATAATTCAATAAACAATTTTCAATCCTTTTATTTTAACAAGAGAGTATATAATTAACTATAATCATCTAATGATTCAAAAAATTACCAGGATAAATATATACTTGTTATTTAATGAATATCTGTGAATATGGTGTATTTCACAGAATAATAGTAAAATCACATGGCCGAAGGCCATGTGGTTTACTATTATTCTGTAGAATACACTGTGTCTACAGATATTCATTAAATAACTAGTTTATTCCATAGGTATGACGTAACAACCCATGCATCACATTATCAATTAAACTTTTTTTCAATTAAACTTTTTTTTTCAATTAAACTTTTTTTTCAATTAAACTTTTTTTTTCTAGTACAGTAGTAATAAAAAAAAAAGAAAAAAAAACTGCACCGCCGCTTCTACTGAAGAGATTTTAGAACCTTGCCTGTAGAGAATACTAACAAGTGTATTTCAAGGTGGCGATATTTGGTCAACAGATTCTGTGAAACTACTAATTGCAAAAAAAGTGAAAAATTGAAACTGTGACAGAATTGAAAGACTTTCTTTGCAGGTTTTTTTACCAGGCTAAAATGCTTAAACAAAAAAATATGGATGCTTTTGTATTACTTTTTTTTTGTTAAATAGCATAAGCAGCGAAGGGTTTAAAACTTTTATGTTTTTGAATTAATACTTGCTACTATGTTTTTTTTTTTTTAATACTAGATATAAGTAAAGGTATTTAGTTTAAGAAAGCTTGAATGGGCGTTGAACAAATTAACACAATAATGATGAAAATAACTGAATTCACAGGTATTAATTGGTGTAAGTTCTATAGCCATTCTTTTAAATGTATGACAATTCAACGATCAAAGATCCTAAAGTTTCAGAAGTTAAACGTATAAGATTTTCTGAGTACGAGTTTGAAAGGAATTTGAACATATAGAATTTTCTGAGCACGAGTTTGAAAAGAATTTGAATCTATAGTAATTAAATAAATAAATAAATATTTTTACAATTAAAAAAGAATTTTGGTAAAGAATTTTAAGTATTTAAAAAAAAGTTTTTTATCGAATGACAATCTTAAAAGACCTGACTATATAAGGTTTTTCTCGGCACATGACAATTTGAATTCAAATAAAGTCCTTTTTAGTATATGACAATTTATGACAAGGTTATTCAACACCAGTCTATATGAAAATCATATGATTTTCATATAGACTGATGAAAATAACCTTGTCAAAAAAGCACAGGTTGTTACATTATACCTATAGAATAAACTAGTTATTTAATGGATATCTGTGAACATGGTGTATTCCACAGGATAATAGTAAAATCACATGGCCTTCGGCCATGTGGTTTACTATTATTCTGTGGAATACACCATGTTCACAGATATCCATTAAATAACTAGTTTATTCTATAGGTATAATGTAACAATCTGTGTCATGTCATTAATTAAACTTTTTTTTCTAGTACAGTAGTAATAAAAAAAAAACTGCACCGCCGCTTCTACCAAAGAGATTCTAGAACCTTGCCTATAGAGAACACTAACAAGTGTATTTCAAGGTGGTGACATTTGGTCGACAGATTCTGTGAAACTACTAATTGCAAAAAAAGTGAAAAATCGAAACTGTGACAGAATTGAAAGACTTTTTTTTGTTAAATAGCACGAGCAGCAAAGGGTTTAAAACTTTCATGTTTTTGAATTAATACTTGCTATATACTACTTTTTTTTTTTAATACTAGATATAAGTAAAGGTATTTAGTTTTAATAAAGCTTGAATGGGTGTTAAACAAATTAACACAATAATGATGAAAATAACTGATTTCACAGGTATTAATTGGCATAAGTTCTATAACCATTCTTTTAAATATATGACAATTCAACGATTGAAGATTCTAAAGTTTCAGAAGTTGAATGTATAGGATTTTCTGAGCATGAGTTTGAAAGGAATTTGAATGTATAGAATTTTCTGAGCATGAGTTTGAAAGGAATTTGAACCTATAATAATCAAATAAATATAAATAAATACATAAATAAATATTTTTACAATTAAAAAAGAATTTTGGTAAAGAATTTTAAGTATTTAAAAAAAAAGTTTTCTATCAAATGACAATTTTAAAAGACCTAACCTATATAAGGTTTTCCCCGGCACATGACAATTTGAATTCGAATAAAGTCCCTTTTAGCGCATGACAATTTATGACAAGGTTATTCAACACCGGTCTATATGAAAATCATGTGATTTTCATATAGACCAATGAAAATAACCTTGTCAAAAAGCATGGGTTGTTACATAGTACCCATGGAATAAGAAGTTTAATTTGATTCACTTTAATGATTGTGTTTCAAGACATTGATTAACCATAATCATTCAATTATTCAATAAATTACCAATGTGAGTATGAAGTTTAATTTAATTCACTTTAATGATTGTGCTTCAAGAGAATATGTGATTAAGCATAATCATTTGGATGTTCTATAGAATAGGTGGGCAATATATAAATAAACTCCGCTAATTATTACTAATTATTAATAAATATTTAGCGAAGTTACAGAGTTTGCGGAGTTTGCTCACCTATTCTATAGAACATCCAACTGGGATTATTCAATCGTTCAAAAAAGTTACCAAGGTGAGTATGAAGATTAATTCGATTTGCTTTAATAATTGTATTTCAATACATTGATTAACCATAATTATTCAATTATTCAATTATTCAAATAAATTACTAGAGTGAGTATAAGTTTAATTCAGTTCACTTTAATGAATGTGTTTCAAGATATTGATTAACCGTAATCATTTAATTGTTTATATAAAGTACCAGGGTGAGTACAAAATTTAATTCGATTCGCTTTAACAATTGTATTTCAAGAAAATGTATGATTAACCATAATCATTTAATTGTTCAAATAAATTACCAGGGTGAGTACAAAGTTTAATTCTATTCACTTTAATGATCGTGTTTCAAGACATTGATTAACTATAACCATTCAATTGTTTAATAAATTACCAAGGTGAGTACAAAGTTTAATTCGATTTGCTTTAATGACTGTGTTTCAAGAGAACATGTGATTAACCATAATCATTTTAATCATTCAATAAATTACAAGGATGAATATGAAGTTTAATTCAATTTGCTTTGATGATTGTGTTTCAAGACATTGATTAATTTAATTGTTCAATAAAGTACCAAGGTGAGTATAAAGTTTAATTTGATTTGCCTTAACGACTGTGTTTCAAGAGAACGTGTGATTAATTTAATCATTCAATAAATTACCAGGTGAGTATGAAATTTGATTCGATTCATCTTGACAATTGTATTTCAAGAGAATGTATGATTAACTGTAATTATTTAATCGTTTAAATAAATTACCAGGGTGGGTATGAAGTTAAATTCAATTCACTTTAGCGATTGTATTTCAAGAGAACATGTGATTAACCATAATATTTAATTATTCAAATAAATTTCCAGGGCAAGTATGAACTTTAATTCAATTCGCTTTAACGATTGTGCTTCAAAACATTGATTAATTATAATAATTCAATTGTTCAATAAATTACCAGAGTGAGTACGAAGTTAAATTCGATTCGCTTTAACAATTGTACTTCAAGAGAACATGTGATTACCCATAATCACTTAAATGTTCAAATAAATTACTAGGGTAAGTATTAAGTTAAATTTGATTAGCTCTAACGATTGTGTTAAACCATTGATTAACCATAATCATTTAATCATTCAGTAAATTACCAAGGTGAGTATGAAGTTTAGTCCTATTTACCTTAACAATTATGTTTCAAGAGAACGTGTGATTAACTTTAATGATAATTCTAATACAATAAACTCAACTGTAACCACATACTGTGATTACCAAATAGCAAGTTCTAAAATAGAAATTTTTACTTCGAATTATGATAAAAATTGACAATCTAATACTGACTCAACTGTAACCACATTAATAAATAATTCTTATGAAACTTAATTACATATTACACATATTGCAAAATTAATAAATTCTGTAAAGAATCTTTAACAGTAATTTGATTAAACAAATATGATGGGTGGTGCTTCGCACCACCCATCGAACTAGTGTTAGATAAGTTATATATGTTAAATAGAATTAGCGAATCATATTATAGCCAAAACTGTATATAAGAACCAAGAGTTTGCCTTGAATAAAAGGATATCTAGTTATTGCTAGTTACGTTTTGCGCATATAACTCATATAATTATATACATTTATTTTCCCAATTCACAATAATAAACTATTATATAAATCTTATGATCCTGAATTAGAGCTTCATGATGTAGTCTAGAGCTCTATTTGGCCCTAATAACTTAGATCAAGTCTTTCCATGCCCTCTTTCATGCCTTCTACCTTTAGGGTCCAGATAGAGTTTGGTAGTTTATTGTGCTATAGAGTGTTGATTTAGTTTAGTTTAGTCTTATTAGATTTCCGTGAAGCCATATTTTGACATTAGGGGTTGATTTAGCCTCTTACACCATACAAATATCAGGTACCTTCTGTAGAGAATCCAGATTCTTCTTATTTCATTGTACTGGTACTACACGCCTTGGTTCTTATTTTGGTTTTTAAGCCATGGTCTAAAGCAGAGTTTCTCATGTTAACAACTTTCTTTATGTCAGATTTCTTTCCTTTTCTGGATGTCGCATGACCTATATCCACAACTTATTACCAACTATGGTCCTGGCAAAGAATGATTCCCTTGTGGGTTTCGAACTTGCAATCTTGCATTTGAGACCTGGGAGCACTAACCACTGTGCTATCGACCCACAGGTCAAAAAATTAGTTTATCGTAAGCTAATAAAAGCAATTCTAAAGTTTAAAGTGAATATTATTGCATTTAGATTTTTGCAATGATTCTAAACCTAAATATAACAAAGAGTTAAACTAACAAATTGTTCTATTTTCACTTAATCTTTGAGCAAGATCTAAAACTTCAGACATAAAGACTTCGGAAGCGCTTTTAATTCCTAATTGTCCATAAATTTAGAAATTCAATTTTATTTTATTTATTCTAACTCTCTTTTTGAGCTGCTCCATCTATACTAATTATAGCATTTTGCAAAAAGATGTGGCCTCATGATTTTTTTGATGGAAAACTTCTGAAATTCTAAATTGTCTATTAATTCATAACTTCGATCTATTATATTTATATTTATTTGAAATGGTAAGATTTTAAAATCTAAAACATTGTGATCTGCAGAGATCACATCCTTTTGCAAAGTGCAATAAGAATATATTGCCAAAGCATATTATAAAATCGCAATTTACTATAACCCTTATTTTTAGTCAGATATTCTAATGGTAAAAGCCCATGCCTAGTGTTCCAAATTGAAATCGATTATTGCGTTTGCAAAAAGGTGTGACCTCTACAAATCACGATAAGAGTGTCTGGGCGAAGATTGCCAAATTATGCATGCGACAAATAGTAAATTATGCAAATTGTGCGAAATTAACCAATTAAATTCAGAAAACATGTCAAGTCAGGTGATTACAGTTAAATATACAACCAATTAACTTTTTTAGCCAATCAAATTTTGCTTACATGTGCATAAAAATAAGCCAATTATGCAAATTCATATAGTAAAAATTGCAAATTATGCACATAATGCTATCGCAGCATAATCCTAGACACTCCTGCACTCTAATCACGATGCCATGCAAAATCACGGGAAATCAACCGATTTTCCGATTATAAGAGAATCTTACAGATTTCAACGAATATGTAGTTACATTAGAAAATATGACTAATCAATAGAAAATCAGAATCTCAGAGATTTTCATTGATCGCCATCCTGAAAATCATGGGGTCACGCCTTTTTGAAAACCAGAATAAACGGTTAATTAATCGAGTTGATAACATTTATTATTATAGTTAGTAGCTACGCAATTATATCCAATATATCAACTAATCAATTTGTCAATTAATCATTAATTGATTAATTAATTAATCAATTAATTGATTAGTTGACTATATCGATTTCTAATCGATTTTTAAAAACTTTTTGGCCACCTAAGCTTCATGGCGAAATTTTGAAGTTAGAGTATTAAGACTAACAATGAAGTGCGTCATTTACAATTTGTTTTTTTTAACATTTCTTATTGTAAATAATATAGGTAACGTCTAACCCATCTTTTCACGAGAAGATGGGTTAGACGTTATCTATATGACTTTACAATAAGAAATGTCAAAAAACAAATAGTAAATGACGCACTTCATAGCTATTCAAAATATAAATTCACAGCAATGCGATCACATTTTTTGGTTCGATTTGTAACAAAACTCATGCCACATTGGATACCAATAAGTGATGGGATATTTGAAATTAAGGCCTTAGCAAGACGGAAAAATTTCAACAAAACCAAACGAACTCCTGATGCAGTATTATCAGCATTAGGTGAAAATTGTATAAACTCTATACGTCGTAAAATTTCATCATCACGCATACTACGTAAAATATCGAGAAATGAAACAATAAAAGTTAATATTATAATTCTGAAAATTCTGAAAGTGCATATAGATATCGTTATTATTGCCATTAGCTACTTCCTTTGATTTTGCATTTTGACCTAAAACTATTATTAACATATGCCTAAAAATGGTTTCATATTGTGATGAGATTTAACAAAGTCACTTAAACGATTGTAAAGTTGTTCATGGATTTCACGACTCAAACAACCGGTGAATAGTATAATCTTTCTAAAGTTGCTATCCAGGTTCGAATGTGTACTTCAAAATGTATCATAGTGCTTTTAGAATCATATTTAAAAACGGAGATATTACTAAGTATTCAAGTGCTTTAATTAATACATCCTCCGTGAATTTAATTGTTTAAGTCCAAATAAATTAGCAAATTTGTAGAATCTTCCATGAAGTCTGCAGCTTGATTAACAGGAACAAGCTCCATATCTTCTAAGTATGGTTTATGATTATTTTCATGATCCAAAGATGAACTTGAACTTCTATATATTCCTTCAATTTCAATTAGATTATTAATAAATCAGTTCTTAAATAGATAAACTTCTAGGCAAAAGGTTGTTTATTTGCGACTATACATATTTCTGACTTAATTCGACATAATTATCGTTGCACATTTACTGTAAGTCATACATAAAACAAACAAGGTCTTAAAAAATTTGATGAAATCGATTAAGAACTTCATTTCATAATTAAAGAAATAATAGCAGAAACCCCTTTTTATCATTATTTTTCTTAATTTACTTAATCACTGATGTATCAGCAAGGTCACAACTTTCTGACATATTCAATATTGAAATAAGAGAGTACATTCCTTACATTGTGGTCACTGTAATTCTTTAATTCTCATAATTCTAACATATAAATATGACGCATATTGGTTAAATATAATAACCTTCTATATCTTGCTGAAATTCTTATGTTTAAAGCAACAATAGCTTTAATAAGTGACAGTAGTGCAGGAATAGTATCATTGATAAAATGCATATGGGTGGATAGTGCTCATTTTGTGATATCTAAAAATGACCACAACAAAATAATGATATACATATTAATTTCAGGCTTCTATATTTATTGGAATCGGTTCTATGAACGCAACTACCCCAGTAGCACCGATAGATTTTCACTGATCGACACCGATCAAAACGACTTTTAAAAATAATAAAACATTATACTAGGCTTAGGTTTTGATCTTATGATCACATCGGAGCTTTTTTTATACCAAAATTTGGCAAGGAATTTTTTTTACTAATGCACAGTAAGTAGTTTCATATATAAAATTT